GTGATTTGTTTCAGTGTAAACGTAGTCTAAGTGTCATAATTCATGTATCTGCCCAGAGTTAAACATTTAAACTTCTTTATAAAATGGAAGAGAGTGGTGCACAAAGTATTGATGGCAATAATGTTAGCAATGGGCCTCTAGTTTATGTATATTGTTACTTTAATCAAGGTATTGGAAATGGAATAGTTTCCTACTTTAGACTGCATGTGTAAGTGGAGTAGCGTTCTGTCCTAGTTTAGCTGCTTAAATCCTGCTTTGGTCCTGCTTTGGTCCTGATTGAGTCCTGGATTAAACCTGTTGACAATACCGTCATAAATCTGTGCATTTTCCCAGCTTCACCCCACACCGCTTCCATCTCCGGCAGCTCCCCTCTGACCACCACAACCACGTTTACTGCAATTACAGGAGCTGTTCTCATCGGGTCCACTCGGGAGGTCTGTAAATTAGCTCAAACAAGTAGAAAAAAAAAGTTTATTTGCGACTCACAATTCCATCTCCTCCCCATCTCAATCTCATGCTGGCATATTAACGTTCAGCAGTTGCCAAGTCATCCATTTTCCTTCCACTGCTTAATTGTCTTGAAAATTGAGGAGATTACCAGCCTCGATATATGTACAAATAAGAATCTGTCACTAAACTGGCAGAGTCCATGCATCAAGCGCACAGAGATTTGGATTTAACAGAGCCCCACAGTCATTTAGTGCGTGGCCATTAGCACATTAGCAAATCACACATGAGCACTGTTGGCAAGTAGCATTCATATTGTTCCATTATGCTTTTAGTGCTGCTTTTTGCATGTCAATGAAGCCTATAAAACCAAATCTGATACCAGTGCCACTTGTTGGTTTGCATTGGTTTGATGGTTTGGACAGCTTCCTGTTTAAATAAGATGTCTTGACCATATGTTTTGAATTGTGAATTGGTATGGCAGCGGTAATCATTTTATGTCATGATCTAATCGTTTTCATGTCAACAGCTACAACAGCTTTTGTTCAAGAGAGATTGGTCATTCCAGGACTGAAATTATCTAAATGATCCTAGTGAAGGTTTATGGAGTTTAAAAACACAGTGGAGTACTTCCTATATTACCACATGACATCACAATGTGGAACAGAGTGTTTTCAGTTTGAGAGAAGAATTTAGGCTGTGTTCAGACTGCTGGGCTTAACACTTCATTCAGATTTTTTTTTTAATGAAATCCAATTTTTTTGCAATGTTGTTCACATTTCCAATGAAATGCGAGTTGTATGTGATCTCCAGTGTGAACTTTAAACGCCACAACAGTGTCCTGCATGCGCATTGGTGGACATGACGACGTCACACACACAAAGAGCATGCTCAGTGTTTACGGAACTCGCCTAAAAATGGACACTGGCGTTGAGCACCTGGAGATTTTAAAGTTGCTGTCATACCGGAGTCAGAACATGTAGACCTTATTTGTTTTAAGGAGGACAAGCAGAAGGAGAAGGATGAGGTTTTTGGCCATGGCGTTTTGTGGGGCGGTGGTGGAGTGCCTACTTGATGAATGCGACCTGGCCATTCAGACTGAAGTCGCATGTCAAAAGCTCGGATATGTATCGGAGCACATATCCAAGTGGCCTGGGTCGCATTTGGAAAAATCAGATCTGTGTCGCTCGGACTGTCATTAAAAGATCAGATACAGGTCATATGGGGTGAAAAAATTTGATTTGGGTCACTTCAGGCTGCAGTCTGAACATAGCCTTAGTCTAAATATGCAGGGTTTGTGTGTTAAACATGTGTGAATGAAACAAAACACAACTCTGTGTTTGTGATGAGGAAACAACATTATAACATAGATTAGGAAATATTGTAATGTAGGTCTTTTAATTGCTGTGGCAACTGTGCTAATTTCCCGTCACTCTAAAACCCATGGTCATATAAGAATGTCCATGCTAGGGCAAATTTTATAGCTTGACCCGGTGAATATTGACACATTATGGGTACTCCTTGCACAACTGCACTTCCAATGTTCTGTATTTCTTCCTGTACTGATATCTGCTCAAATTTCTTTTTAATTTTGAGACTAGTTTTACTATTAGTACTGTGAAGTATTGACAAATCTCCTGCTTATTCACCACAGACAGATATGTTTTAATGATAGAACGGGACCCTCACACATAACAGCCTTTTGAACAGAGAAACTAAAAACCCTGTGTAGCCTCCTCTCGACCTCAGAGTGAATGAATGTGCAGACCTGAGCAAGGCCGTGTGACTGTGAATGAGGGGAGGCTAAATGAGGAAAGACGAACATCTCTGCCTGCTTTTGGAGGTTGTTCCACACAAGTGCAGTTATTTTCACTTGAGAATTACTAGGTTAGAATGAGACAATTCTCACAAGAAAAGACACAAGATTTTTACAGATTTTTTTATTTATTTTATTTAATATTTTGGTGTCATTATAGCACTGCTTCTCAAAACTAACTGTCTTATCATGACATGTAACTCAAAATATATTTCCTCATCTTGTAGCGAGATCTTGTATCTCCCATTTCTAAGAATTACATATACAAAAATTTATATATATTCAGTGGTGAAATGTAGCATTGTAAAAATTGTAAAGTACTACACTGAGGTACAAAGAAAAGAAGAGCACTTTACATTTAAAGTGGATACTTTTACTTCTTCATTTGAGAGCAGGTATTTGTGCTTCCTACTGCACTTAATTTTTCAAGTAGACTGTTTTTTTTTTGGGGGGGGGGTTGTTTGTTTGTTTTTTGTTTGGGTTTGAGACCTGCTGCTTAATATGTTCATAGTTTGAACAAACAAAAGCTACCAAAAAACAAACAAACAATTTTGAGCAATATTCAGCACAAATTTGAAGCATTATTAGACCTTAAAATCTGTGCGCAAAACTTTTACTTTTTACTATTTAAGTACATTTTTAAACAGGTACATTAATACTTAGTACTTAAGTAGATTTGTTTATGTGATACTTTTACTTTCTTTACTCCAGTATCTGTATTTCTACTATCAAAATTGAATACTTCTTCCAGCACTGATTACATGTTTCCCTTTTATATCTGGTTATATCTGCTGGTTTATGTTGAGAGTTTAGTGGAGATGAGGCAAGAGAGAGAGGAAGAGAGACAGAGAGAGGGTAAAAGGGGGGTACGCAGGTGTGTTCAGATTCCACATGTTCTCCTTTGGGAACCAGCCAAATGAGGCAGTGTGATTATAGCCTTAGCGATGTAATCTCACCTCTTAGGCAGCCCCCGCTACACCCCCTCCACCTCCTCCTCCCATATCGCCTCCCCCCTTCTCCTCTGCGCACTCCTCCGTTCATTTCAGCCCATTCCAGATAAATCCAATTTGCTCTGGCTTCACAGAAGACCTTGTTTTCATGTTCTGTTGCTACTTCAAACTCAGTGCCTCCTGTTATTGCTCATCTCTTTTTAGCTGTCTCGGTTTTTCATTGGGTTCACCGTGAATAGGTCCATGCGCAATGAGGACACCAGACATGTGCGTAACTCAAGAGGCAGCCAGTCAGTTCACTTGCCAACCAGTGGTTTTGTTTTTCATTTCAGTATGCATTCAGTTAAATTAAAGTGATTTTTATTTGAAACTGTTTTGTATTATCTGTCATTATAAGCTCAACTTATGTAACACATTTGCTTAGTTTGCTTTGTGCATCACCCCACGATTCTGATGGTAGGAGAAATTGGATCATTTTGCTGTAAACGAGGTTCTAAATCACGGATACAAAGCATTTTTACTGTTTTGAAGGTTTGCTTTTGAATGCAAGAATTTTCCATCACAAATTGCTACATGTCTCATTGTGCAATCTAAGGAAATGTCTGAAAAATAAAAGCCACCTAATTATCTCCATAGAGCAAGTAAATTACAGGTATTTTTAGTGCTCAAAAATACCTTGCATTCTCATTGTCAGTGCAGGTGCCTCTTCACAGATCTGACCCATAACTTGGCTTTGAAGCGTCACTTTTGTTTCTTGCCAATAGATACATTTGAAGCCATACTGTTGAAAATTCCAGGCAAAACAAAGACATCTACATGAAAACAAGCAGTTGGTGCACCCTCCACCACAAAAGTTACACAGTGCACCTTTAATTAAAGCTTAGGTTCTCAAGACAGTTATCATGTTCTTTGTACAAACAGACTTGTGTTTCAGAAAATTGTAAGAATCGGGTGAGATCGGAGCAGATTATATTTTTCTTATTCTGTTTTCAATAGAACTGTGCCTGTGGGTTAACCCTAATGAACTTCTCTATTTTTACTTCACTGAGCATTTCGTAATAAACCAGGATTTTCCACGCTCAAATAGGTGATTGATGGCATACTGCACTATAAAAATAACACTGTAGTGATAATGATGATGAGACAAATAATTATAATGATCTAATGGGGTGATTAGAGCAGTTGGCAGTAGTGCTTGTGAAGACTGTCATGCAGAAACATGAGCTTACCCGTATCCTTCACAATGGAGATTATATAAGTGGTAACATATGTATCTAGGTTATTTTAGCAATGTCTTTTCCAAGCATGAGATGAAATTTATTAGTATTACTTAAAAATAATCAGATCTGGATTGTTTTTTGGATAGGATTTCCGTATTATCAGTTTATACGTATCATATTGTGGGGTCTAAAATCTGCATACACTCTCATGGGACAAAAATCAGGTCCGCATGATCAAATTTTTTTTTTATTAGATCAGCAACATAATTTAAAGGGCCAATATGATATGTAATGTTGTTTCCTCATCACAAAAATACCTGGAGTTTTGTTTTGTTTCATTCACTTGAAACAAAACACAACTCCAGGTATGTTTTGGTAACAACATTATAACATGGCTTAATATCAGACCTGTGTGAGTTTTAATTATTTATTTCTGTTCTGTATATGATTGTCAGTGGTAAATTTAATAATAAATAGAAAGTAGTCACATGCTCTTTAGGGAATTAATGACACTGTCATGTTGCTTTGTGTTATTGCCAATATAAGGTGTTGTACTGTGTGTTATAGGGGATGATGTACCTGGAGGAGCGCAGGTTGGTCCACAGAGATCTCGCTGCCAGGAACGTGTTGGTGAAGACCCCGAACCACATCAAGATCACAGACTTTGGCCTGGCGCGCCTGCTCGATGTCAATGAGAAGGAGTACAACGCGGATGGGGGCAAGGTAAACACTGCCAACTGCTAACCCTGCACCGTTCATGAGGCCAATACAGATGCACTTCAGACTATATTAAAACCCATCTCCCCTTGGACTTTGCTCACATCAGAAATAACCTCTAATCTAAATACCAAATCTCTGTTCTTTCAAACCAATTATAGTGAAATATTTAAATCTTGTTATTATTAAGACAATGTTTCATGTTATTTTCATCAACAGCCTCTAGGCAAACCCTCCGTTACACTCATATAAAAACTTTTATTCAAGAAAAATGTATCACAACTTACTAAAACATTAAAGAAGACCTATTGTGCTTGTGTCTGCTATAGTGTTATAATCATAAACTGTATATATAAATGGACATAACATAGCAAAGGGGCACTGCCAGCTCCTTCTAACCCTATCTCCAGTTGACTTACATTGGAATACTGTCTCCACTCTCTGTAACTGCTGGAGTGAGCCTCGTCATTTTGCTCTTAAAATGTTCGTATTAATCCGCTCTACGTGATTCTGGGGTTTTAATTTTCTTATTTAGTCCTGATATGGACATTGGCTCTAAAATCGTCCCTGTAGCTTCATTTCACTGGAACGGAACGCTATGGGTGATGTCACACTCGCTTAATCCACTTCTTTGTGCAATCTTTGTTAGTAATCCATGACACCCGTGGATCATAATTTGGGTGTTTTAAAGTCCAATGTTCATCTAAAATGACTTACTAAAGGAAAACAAGTCTGTGTTAGGAAACTGCAGTGCCCAGTAGGAGCTGATGTTGCCGTAAACTTGCTGTAACCAATTAAAATTTTTAGGGTAGTTTAGTTAAAAATGCATGGTACATTGTCTATTTAGGACTATTGAAAACCGCAAAGGCCAAGAAACTCCCCCACATTGTTTATCATTAAAGAGAAGAGTTGCAGATGTTTTTTCATTTGTACCAAAATTACTGTGCAAAACTGCTGAATCCTGCTCCCAGAAAACAAGATTTGGTCAGAAAAATTCCATCTTGAATGTAAGTAATTAAAGATTGTTCAGACATGCACGACTCACTCCAAAGACAACTGTGGGTGAGTAAATGGTGAGAGGAAAAAACTTTAACATGGTTAAAACTTTAAAATGTCTCTAACCATCTACTACTAATCACATATGTAGATGCAAACCACATTTTTCAGTTTTGAGTATTTGTTTAAACTAACTAAATTAGTACGTCCTTTTTTGTTTGCATCTCACTAATGATACCCAAACATGAGTGTTATTTGCATGATATGAAAGCAGAGACTAAGCCTCATCATTTTGACCCTGTGGGAGGGACTGGGTCCATCAGTAAACCCGACTAAACGCGTTCTCTGGGCTCCTCTTCTGCTCTATTGGACCGTTATATTTACTTTGGGGGACGAAGCTCTCAGAACAATATAAATGAAGTAAACAAATCTGTCCTTGGGAGTCTCTGGCCTCTCTTAATCTTTATCCATCCTTTGTATTGGTTTTCAAGTCTTTTTTTCTCTCTTCCTGTCTGTCTTCCTCTCATCTGTCCATCATGTCCGCACTATAAGCAGTGTGCTATTATCCGCTGTTCTTTCAGACACAAACAGGCGCTAACCTCCACCTGGCCCCTCCCTCCTCCTACAGCGCTGTAATCAATAAGACAGGCCTTCAAATCTAATCACAGATTTAAGCCAATTCCACAGCAGGAAACTGTTCAACACAATAAAAACTCCTAGTGTGCAATGTGTCACCACTGGAATGATCTAATCTGGTGCTTTGTGATGAAATGACTGTCTTTCACCTCAATATCTTTTGATTATAGTCTTTATCTGTCTATTGTATGGTCTACACAATGTATTTAATGGTACTTACTGTTTTTTCTTTCTCAGATGCCAATCAAATGGATGGCTCTTGAATGTATTCATTATCGAAAGTTCACACATCAGAGTGATGTTTGGAGTTATGGTGAGTACATTTTTATTATTAAAAAAACAACTACAACAACAGTCTAATATATTATATATTTATTTATACATATTTTTATTCCAAATTAATCTCACAGTGCCTCTTTACTTTTTCCCCTGTTTTTCTTGAATTGTGCTATTCATCTTGGGTTAAAATTATTTTCATTTTTTCAGACATTGAGAAAATGTCAGAGAAAATAGAGCTTTGTCTGAATATTGATATGACGAGCTAAAATGATCAATGATAGCTTAATGTTTTTGACCAGGTCGTTGTTGTAAATAAGCTTTGTTTTCAATCAATCTACCTGGATTAATAAAGTTTAAAATAAACAAAAGCCTTGAATTAAGTGTACTGACCTTGCCCATAGTTCACTGCATGCATTTCTCAGTTGTGGTCCCAGTAGTCCTGATGCAGAGACTCTCTACATTACATGTCAATTATTAACTCATTATAATTAAAACAATTAAGATGTGCGTCAGGAGAGATGACTTGCAAATTTGAAAACTTCACTTGGTCTGTACTCCTGTGCCTCCTTGACTCTTGTCTCCTGTTATATATTTCACTGTATTATTTCCTCCATAAATTGTCTGATCTTTTCTGATCTCCTAAAGTCTTTCTAGTGAACTTAATGTATTCATTTCACTTCACTGTGTTTCATTTGACTCTTATCACAGACCTGTACCCTTCTACCTCTCTTGTTGTACAATGACTTTTGTGTCTGTCTTTAGGCGTGACCATCTGGGAGCTGATGACCTTTGGAGGAAAGCCTTACGATGGTATTTCCACCAGAGACATCCCCGACTTGTTAGAGAAGGGAGAGCGTCTCCCACAGCCACCAATCTGCACCATAGACGTATACATGGTCATGGTCAAATGTGAGTATCAACCAATGACAATATTCAGGCAGAGAAACAACCAAAAGTATAATAAATTTAACTGACTTGACTTTCAACTTAACTACAAAGCTGAATTTTGGCTTTTTTTAAGCAAGTTTTTATCCTATTTGTCTCCATGGAGATGTTGTTGCTTTATCAGAAATATTCCATAGTATGGCACTGAAAGTACCTACCATAGATTGTATAAAGAAGTGGACTAAGGCTAGCGGTTATAGGAGTGAATTTGGAGCAGAGTTCCATTTTAGGAACAGGAATTTATTTACGGACAAAATAGCGATATAAAAACATTAGGATCATTTAACAGACATTTTAAGATTAAAATGATGAGGCTCACTGCAGCAGTTACAGACAGAAGGGTGCTTAGTTATGTTTATTTATATATACAGTCTACGGTGCCTACCTAGTATTTATTACATTTTAAAATGTAATAAATACTAGGAAAATCAATAGTGTTCTTTTTATTTGATAAGTCATGATTGGACAAGTGCTCAGATCAGAGGTGGTAGTTATATATGGATCCTATAGGTCTGTGTAAAGCCACTTCTCTGCCATCTCTCTACATTATTATATCATTCCGAGGACATGTCGAAAGGCTCTTGCTGCTCGTCATGTGATGGCTTTGGCGCTGGTCCGTGTTGTTCTCAGAAAAACTGGCAGAAAGGCCCTTCTCTCCATATGGCCACTCCACTGATAAAAACAGTATTTATCTTCAAACTGGAAATGGGAGTCATTACAACACCCCAAGGCCCGCAGATCTGAGAATTACAGACATCAGGTCGTTGTTTGTATTACTTAACTGCAGAAAATTGGCAAACACAATCCTGAAACTGTTATTTAGTGATTCTAATAATGAACTGGCTCAGGGTGGTCCATCTATTAAAGAAGTTGTTGTGGTTTTATTGTAGCATATGTAGATTATTATTGTATATTTTGTTCACTGGAAATTACAATCTTGATCTAAAACAGCTGAATAAAAGAAACAGCAATGGGTATAGGGGATGGTAAAAACACAAATGTGCAGCATTCAAGCCCCGAATGAAAGATATGCAGGATTACTCAAAAGCACAAGCAGGTGGTGGGCCCATTACCAGAAGAAACTCCGTAGAGTTACTTAAAGCTCCACTATGGAACTTTTCTGTTAAGAGTCCTGGCACCTGCTTGTGCCCGTGGTGATATGCTTGGGAGATTTTTTATTTTATTTTTTTTGCTACAAAACAATACCTAGAAAAATGCATTCTACAGTAAGCAGGCCTACCTCTCCACAAGTCAGACTCATAAATTGGCTTGATGCTTATTTCCATGGAAAAAGATATCATTCTATCATCTCCATGGTGATGGACCTTCCACTCTGAAAGTTACACAGTGCACTTTTAAGGAACAGATTTTACATTTACAATCATTATTGATCATTTCACATTTTTCTCTGTGTGTATTCAGGTTGGATGATTGACGCAGACAGTCGGCCGAAGTTCAAAGAGTTGGCAGCAGAGTTCACACGAATGGCCCGGGACCCTCAGAGATACCTGGTCATTCAGGTAAGTTTTATTCAAATATAATCCTTTTAAATAAAATACATATTTTTTGTGCTGATAGTAAGTTGACACACCATTTACTATATTATTCATTGATAACTACACTACTTTTTTAACACTTAACCTTTCAGTATGACAACCAATCAGCTGAATTTTACCCTTACTAACCAAAACCAAACCTCAATAACATATTTTTATTATTTTCCACCCATATTTAACATTGCTAATCTGTCCTTTAACACCCAATTTCTGTTCAAAGATAATTCTTATATTAATACTTACTGAACCACCCCTGGCCCACTGTCTCCAGGGCGATGACCGGATGAAGCTGCCTGGCCCCACAGACAGTAAGTTGTTCCAGAATCTGTTGGAGGAGGAAGAGCTGGAGGAGCTGATGGACGCTGAAGAGTATCTGCTCCCACATGGATACCCGCCTCTGGCCTACCCGCCCCGCCCCCGCATGGAGCCCAACAAGGTATGTTTTACCGCAGTCATCTCTAGGACTGTCATGATAAATACTATATTAACTCTTCATTCAATATATAACATATTTATCCTGGGTACATTTTATTTATATTAGTGGGGCATTTTTGGTTACTTTTAGGTACTACAATGAGATTTAAGCTGTCAAGGTTTGAATTATGAACTTTTATGACTCATTAGACATACAAACTATCTATATAAGTTCTGCATTGTGTTATCTCTTTTTTGCAGTTCTTTTTTTTGACAATTTTGTACTTTTAGAATACTTTTTTGGGGATAGTTCCGCTTTATGGTTTGGTTTCAAAATTATCGTGCATCATCTATATTTTCTTCTGCAATAATAGTATATCACACTTTAAAATGCATTATTGTGACAGGCCTAGTCATCTATAACCTAACATGCCTATCCATTGTCAATTAATCCATTAAATAATTGATAGTGGTTGACGTTGTGCTGTTTTCTCCATCCCACCCAAGGGTCTTAGTTGTCCATATATAGGCTTCAGGAGTAGATCTCTGTAGTTCTTTTTTCCCCCTTTGTATAAAGATGGAGATCTTAGTTCTGTTTCATCCAGGATTCATAGAACCATAGTTACATTTTTTACATTTATCGACTGCCAAAACTGATTAGCTTTTTTTAGACGTTTCTTACATTAATTAATTCTTTCAGGCACATCCAATTGGTGCACATACAAATTTATGAAGGATTGGTCTAAGAACACAGCAGCAGTCTGCGATAATGTCACCAGTGGATTCATGTACCAAGAGTACAATGAAAACCCATCACATCTTTTATGACTGTATTTTGAACAGTTTGAAAAAAGGCAAGAGGCACACTAAAACTAGAGCTTCTAGAAAAATGCACTGAACTAAAACCCTGTTCAACTGATGGCTTTTAAACAATTGTTTAATAACTTGTTGACCTGCCTGTAAACCCCTAAGAGAGTTGAATGTAAATATTTTGTCTCTGGGTCTCTTGTAGTAATACATAAGGTGTTTTAATAATTAATTATATATAGTACAGTATATAGGTAATTTGTATTATGTATTTTTGTATTTAATTGCTTTGGGTCCCATTTACAAAAAGTATTTGCAAAATTATGCTATTTTTTTTTACTGTATATTTTTGTCATTTTTTAACAAATGAAAAAAATAATAAACAAATTTCACAGCTACTCTGCATCTAAACAGCTTGACACTATGAACAAACTATTGAACTATCTCAGGGTAATGGCAATTTATTACATAGATATTTCAAGAGTTTTGTTCACACCATAAAAAAAATAAATTAAAAAAACTTCTATGGCGTCTTACTGACCTTTCCATGAAAAATAATCAGGGTTTAACCATCACATAACCCCCAAATAAGAAGTTAATTTTAGCTTTGTTCTAATAAAGTTGCACTAACTCGTTAGAAACAACTTTTTTAGCCAATACATTTCTTCATCGGTACTTCTGCTGACCTAAGAGACTTGCTAAAAAATTTTTTTTTACATAAACCGACTTCTCAAAGAGTCATTATTTGGTGTAGCATTTTTGGATATATATTTTTCGAACCCATGTAGTTCCAACTTTCGATCACTTTTTTTTTTATTAGAGATTGTATGAGAGAGGCTCAGCGGGTAGGGCGCACTGAGACATGATGGGAGCAGGATGATCTAAGTCTGTGCAGTCACAGTCATCACAGAGATAGCCTCTTAAGTGATGTACCAATGAGTTTGCGCTGCATGTGCCACAGCTCTAGTCTTCACGGAAAAAAAGATTGAGATCTAAGAATGCTCACAACTTCAATTCTTATCCTGTCCATGCACACACTGTTTTCAGGCTCTTTCTCTGTGTAAAACCCTGGTAATTGCCTTTTTACAACTGTGAGATTTTCCGGCCAGGATACTTCAAATGTTTTTCTTTGGATCCAAATCTCATACAAACCCAAGCAGCTCCAACATTTTCTCATCCAATATCCACCTGTGTTTTCTCTCTCAACACGTTTTGTTTTAACATTTTACTCATAATAGTTTTTCTTTCAGTGTTAAATGGATCCGTGTAATCGGACAGGGATGGGTGAGGACTAATATCAGCTGAGATTTGTGATAGAGGAGTAGAAACAATGGCACAAGTAGCTGTAATCAAACCAACCACACACAAGAATAAAGTAAGGTCAAAATATGTTTTTTTTGTTTTGTTTTGTTTTTCAGTTTTATGAAAGAAATCTTAAAGATTATAGGATAACATGTTGCTTCTTATTATAGCATGTCATCTAATTTTAATCAAATCAAGTTTCAAAGTTTTCACATTGTGAATCATTTTGGTTATTTTAATCAAGAGCTCTACAGCTGTTCTTCTATCTGTAATATGGTTTGGACCTGGAGTAAATATATAGTCAAGACTTGAGTTTTTAAATGGCACTGCTTTAAAGTATGTCTTGTTTATGCCCATAAACTTAATCTTTGAGTAAGAAAGGAAAAAAATAGAAACTGCAATCGAAGGGGGAAAAAAATGTAGTTGATTTCCTAGTTATAATGATGGTGTGTTAAAACTACACTTGCATGTGGAGTTTAACTCATTAACTCAAATTACTCAATACCAGGTGGCAAATAGCTAATAAGTAAAAGATTTGATTTTCTGGAAGCAAAGCCCAGTATGAGTCCCAGTAGAGAAAACTAAATATATTAGGATTTGTGAATGTGTTTTTTTGAAAGTAAAAATATCTGTGGACACAGGAGGGTCTGGTACCTGGTAGTCTGCATATGGACCACTGTGCCGTCCTGACAGGAGCCTCTTCCTGAAATAACAATGACTGTGTGTTCTGATTAGTATGACCACAGGACGGCCGGCGCTGCATGGGCCAGTGTACAAGTGAAAACACACCTCTGTGGATAAATAAAAGAGAGACAGCAGAATAAAGCGCCCAGCCTGCTTCTTCAAACACTTTGGAGTTAGAAGCAAAAGCACAAATGCACACAGCAGGCCCGCGCTGATACTGCTGCTCAAAGACCACTGCCACGCCAAGCCTTTTAATTAAAACTCTTTTAATTAAATCGTCCTTGGCAGTCATGCTGTCACAACATTGTTTGCTACTGCTATGTGTCTCCCCAGCCTGCTGTATTTGAAAGGAGCTGATAAATAACACCACTAACCAGCTGATTCTCCTCTGGAAAATTGGAATAGTCAAACTAGTTCCTAGTTTCAAAATGTCTGTCAATCCCATCAATGACAAAAACTCAAAATTTTGACATAAACCAGGGTGACGAATAAATGAAGTTAAGTGTGATAAAATGTGAACAGAGTAATACAATGGAACCTTGTCAGAAATGTGACAGCCATGGAGAGATATCTTGAGTGACTGAGAGGAAATCCCTCATGGCTGGGTCACTGCTGTGACCACACAATGGCTCCTTTAATGGTTATGGTCTGATCATGACTTTGTCTTGACTGTGTGCCTTTAGGGCCAGTTTACATACCAGGACCCCAGCTTCAGTATGGAGGGCATGCTGACCTCTCTGCCCAGAGTGGTGCCTGGAGCGCCCTCTGCAGGGGGATGTGTGCCGGGGCAGGAGCTTGGCTCAGTGGTGCAGGGGGGCTTCAGCCGGAGCCAGGAGGATCCCCGCTGTAACGGTACACTGAGGAAACAGGCCTCTCCCAGGGCCAGCATGCTGACTGTTAGCTCTGCAGCTCCAGGTATGTGCATGGGATGTTATTTAAATTTGGAAATGAAAATATTCATTTGTTTTGATTTTATGTGAAGGAGATGATGGCAGTGCACAGCGCTACAGTGCAGACCCCACGGTTCTGTTAGCAGAACGAGTGGCCAAAGCAGAGAAGGAGCATGCCGCAGCCAGAGACAAGAACAGCACAGGTATGCAGTAGCAGATACAAGTATATCCACTGAAAAACATTTATAGTAAGTAGTGCTGTTAGATCGGTCTTTTTTTCTGTCATTCAGACTACGTGAATCCTGTGGAGGAAAACCCCTTTGTGACTCGCCGGAGGAATGGAGAGGCCCATGCTGTGATGGATGGCGCGGGCTGCCACGCGCTGCACATGGTGGGTGTGGTTGGAGGAACTGTCCCAAAGAGCCAGCCCCCCTCCACAGAAGAGGAGTATGTGAACGAACCCCTGTATCTGAACACCTTTCTGAACCCTGGGGACAAGAACGGCCTGGCAGGGGGCATCTCTGTGGCAGGAGCCTCTGCTCCAAAAACAGTTTCTCAAACAGTGGTCCCATCCACATCCAGCCACACAGTGTCATCCAGTGGATATGTACTGCCCCCCGGTCACCTGCCCCACTCCTCCTACCCTTCCCACACGCTGCACCCCTCCCATTCAGGACACACTCTGCACTCAGGCACCACCAGCACCATCATGTTTGATAAAAAAGCCAAGAAGGCCACTTTTGACAATCCTGAATACTGGCAGCACAGTCTCCCCCCCAAATCCTCAGTGCACAACCCCGAGTACCTGCAGGACTGCAGTACACGCTTCTTTTACCGGCAGAATGGACGCATTCGCCCCGCTGTGGCAGAGAACCAGGAGTACCTCTCGGAGGCAGCCATGAAGGCGGGCAATGTGCTGCCCCCACCCCCTTACAGACAGAGGAACACTGTGGTGTAGTCCCACTGTAGCACACACAGGCTGGAGGTGATTGGCTCAGACTGTCCACTCATTTCCACAGACTTTCTCAACGTGGGAGAGCTCACCCGCTGAACACTTGTGTCATGTCTGATCACAACTCTTTGATTTCCATTTGAAGTTCTGGCTTTTTCACCAGAATTTGAATAACGATTTCTAACAGTCTTTTGACACAGACTCCATTTAACCATTTCATAAAATAGCTCATGGGAGACTTCTCTAAGAAGTCTGCTCGACTCCTCTGCTGTATGTGTCACATGAACACACCAATAAGGGTTTCTAGGAAGATGTGCAGTGGGAGGTCAGTGCATGACCTTGATTGGTTACTGTACACAGACTGTGAATGACATTTTATTATAATCATTTTGTTTCTTCTTTAGCGCATTCAACTCACCTGACATGATCTGCCCATATAGCAATATGTGCTTGTGCGTGGTTCATTTGCACATCGCTTTGTGTCTCACCAGCAAACCTGCTTATGAAGCGTATATGTTCTGCATGCCTTCCCCTTTGACTTTACCACGTTACTGCTTCAGTAATGCATTTTTCAGGCTCAGCACATCACACATGTTAACACACCGCCAGCTCTAACAGTAACCTTACATTCATTTTGCACATACATACACACTGCCAGACAAGGCTGCTGCTGCTGCTGCTGCTCTATGAAATCTCTTGTGGAGGGGGGGTTGCTCTGACCTTGTGTTGGAGACAGTGTGTGGATGATGGCCCTTCAGTCCATGGTTGTGAGGGGGTCAGCAGGAAAGTAAATGTCACAACAGGTTTACTGAAAGCTCTCTGCTGCTCTGCTCCTGGTGCAAAGTCTCCTCCAGTTTGGGCTTCAAATAACACAGACCTTATGCCTTTAAGTCTGCCATCTTTGTCTGAGCACAGGATCCAGCCATTCACAACCCCACAAGCAGACCACATACTAGGACTAAAGGGATTCTCCATTGGAACAGACTGTTTGTTATTTTTAGGCATCAGGGATCAAAGCGTTCACCATGTCACCTTGTCTAACACTGGACTTGAATAATTAAGAGCACACGCCAAGATGAGAAAGGGGCACTGCTGTCAGTAAGTGTTGTAAATAGGCTCATTACATGCCATTATCGCGCATGGTCTGAAGCTGCTTTCAAAAAGTACATATAAAGACCAAGATACAAAAGTTGGCTCTTTTGTTCATTTATTAATACTGTTTACTCCAAAAGCTGTCAGTTAAGCCCCCCTCCATATTTTTTTCATCTGTCAAATTAACAAGTATTTCAACACATTCTTGTGGGTTTTGGAAGCCTTAAAAAAGCCTCAAAAAGATTGTTAGCGCCTAGGGTAAAAATTTGTTTTCAATGAAATTCTTGAGACTTGGGATTTGATTTCATAATACACACTGATTTTTCAGTAGTTAGACAGCAGTTTAGTCTGTGACTGTCCCAAGCCTTGAAAAATGGAAATGGTTTTGATACTTGCAAGAACAAATAATAAGCCAAATATTGTAGTTTATACAGTAGTTTATTCAAATAGTGGACACTTTTGGTTGTATTGCGCAGCCAGATGTCCCTTGTCCCACTTATTTACACAATGTCCTGTTTTTTTCATTGATGCTACATAATTATAAAAAAAAAAAAAAAAAAGATGATTCTTTGTTTGTTTGTTTTTGTTTTCACAAAGAAATCAAGTTTTTGGTTTTACTGGCATTCAGGGCTGTAATATGTTGACACCTTACACTATTGCAATCTGTTTGTATGTGTCAAGATATAAAATCAAATCATAATTTAGTGTGATTACAGTTATCATCAATGAATTCAAATTTCTCAAATCCGTCCCTTCATGTCCCATCAAATTCAACAACATGTCTAATTTTTCTGCTTTTTGAGGTGGTCTCCGTAGGGCGGGATCGTGCTGTGCCTCAGGTGGGCTTGCAGTTGCCAGTCTAGGTCCGTACATGCCTGTTGTTGAACTGTATTGAGAATAGCAGAGTTGGTGATTGGGTCCAGAGCGCAGATGTTCCCTGGTGCAGTGCTTTCTCCTCTTGCTTTTATGGGAAATAATTATCACCCACTTGAGCTCCAGCTGAGACCTGACTGGCTACAGCTTGTGCAGTAAAACATACACTATGAATAAGATACGCCAGATAAGCACTTGGAAATTTAGGAGACAATGAAATACGAGGCTAGAAACACTTAAAGACTTGAATGGCTTAACTCTGCAATAGTAAAGATAATGTAGATTGGGAACGATTCTGTTAAGTATGTACTAGTAGTACTGAATTAATAAGCCTGTCACGATAATAAATCTTGAAGTGTGATATATTAGTGAAGAAAATATAGATAATAAATTATAATATTGAAACAAATTTATGTCACTGACACGATAACCATTAAGTCGAATTATCCCCAATATACTAAATGCATGATATGATTAAAAAACAAAACACTGCAATGAATAAATAGCAGAATGAAACCCTCTGGCACTTAGCTTGTATCTATAATGAGTCACAGAAGTTATTTATTCAAACCTCACAGCTCAAAACTACTTGTAGAACAGGAAGAATAACAAAAAGGCCCCCACTAGTACAAAGAAAAATGAGTGTGAAAAATACTGAGCAGAACTGGGAATCATGGGGTCCCTCAGGATTCGATACAATACACAATACATAGCTCATGGTGCGATATAGTTACGATATGGCGATACATGTGATAATCGATTGCATGATACTCTGTGATATAGGCTATTCCTGTTTTTTAAGAACCAAATACATTTTAACAATAATATTTCTTTGTTAAACCACTACTTGTGTGAGGTTAATATGAAATACATCGATTTTAATCATCAAAACAGTGAATAAACAAGTTCCCTTACACTAAATAAGCAGCAAAGTTGTAGTGCAGTTACAAAAAAAAAATGCTAAAAGATACCAAAAACATACTCTTAACAATTTATTGATATAGCAGCTCACTATAATGATACTGTATCCCTAAATTTAGTATCACAATATATCAATATGTTGACCCCCAAAAAGGATTGTTTCAACTATCATGTACTGAATATTTTGATAAAGTATTTATCGTGATCTATCATGTGTTAGATATTCCGCTTGCTATTAAAATCACTAAACATTCTTGCTAACTAAACTGTGACCAGGTGTCCACGTAACTATTTGGGGGATAGAGTATTTCACTATCCACAATGAAGGTCAACTTCAAGTACTTTAAATATATAGTTATTACTTTAGGTGGGCTGTGTAATATTATCATTTTTGGCTACTCTATCCACTGCTGCAGCGTATATTAATGACCTGACAAAATGAAGAATCACGTTTTACAATAAGCAAGTTGTACTGTATATTTATGGAAGATAATTTGTTCCATCAGATTTTGAATTTTAAATACCACTGAATTTCTCACTTTGAATTTTTTTGATGTTTGAATTACTTTTATTTTGAAGTGTAGTTGCAGAAATTTTAAGTTTACTTGTGTACTATGTTTTAAATTCTAAATTTTTTTTTCAAGCCCTCAAATTCAATAGTCAAAATTCAGAGTGTAAAATTTGCTGTGAACATTTTCACAGCAAAGATCCAAGATGCCAAGGCAGAAGCAATCGATCATGTAAGTAAGGAGGACAGAGGCTTTTTCCTATTGGCTCTTCTCATCTGTGGGTGGGGCTTACACTTAAGAAATCAAAGAGAGAAGGTTTTGATGAGGCTAATTCTGACCAATCAGATCAATTTCCTGCACCATTTCCTGCTTGCTACTACGTTAGATCGGATCACTTTGGCTCGATTGCTTAGGCCTTGGCATCTTGGATCTTTCCTGTGATTTTTTTTCACTGCGAATTTTACACTCTGAATTTTCACTATTGAATTTGAGGGCTTGAAAATATTTGTGCCGAATATTTAAAAGATGATTTTTTTTAAATATTGAATTTTATAAACTTTCTACTAAAATTCTGAATAAAAATAATTCAAACATGTTTTTTTCAGAATTAAACATTTCAAAGTGAGAAATTCAACAGCATTTACGATGGCGTAGTCACGTTGTATACGTAAAGCCACAATAGCTCCACAAATTACCCATAATGCATTTTTGTATGAAAAAATAAACCCCATTTTAGTGAGGAGCGACCCGTATCCAGCCAACATCACAAGGGGCTTTTAGCTTTTTCAATGCTAATTCACCCACTTTCCCTTTGTAGTTCTATGGGGAAATCACGTTAGCCACCATCTCTCCCCTGCGCACACGCCAGAGGAACCCCCAGCGACTGCACAGTGCGTTTTAATCCTGCTCAGTGCTTAACGTTAACATATTAGCATTCCACACATGTTAGCAGAGCCATGCATCAATGTTACAACAGCTCACGAGGGGAGCGGGAGCAAATGCACTGTAACAGGGAAAAGCAACTCCAACTTGATTGCCATTTTTCTCTTCAGATGTGATGGTAGAATAGTCTATGTAGCAAACCGGGATTTTGGCAGCTCACAAAGTCAAAATTGCAAAAAATAACCAAGCAATCTGGCTGGGAAGAATTATGATCAGTACTCCAAGAATATAAAAATACATTTCGGTGGCAAAAATGAGTTGCAGATTACTTCTTTGTAGTTGGTCACAGTATTTCTTATGCATATTTCTCATCACGTTTCCGGAGTAACCATGGATACTTGTTGTCTTTGCGTGTATTGAATCTGCCTCATTCTACCTGCTTTTTAAATCTCAATGTTACACTTATATACAGTGTGTGTAGGAAGATAGGCAAACATAATAACTTTTGGGTTTATCCAAGATTAGCATATTCATGAAATTCGACTTTGAGTACGTTTTGGTCTTAGCTTTTGTATTCAGCGCATAGCAGGTTTGCCATTTAAAGGTCAGAACACTGTTGCAATATATATTATCACAACTTATCAAGAAGGACTTTTTCATGTGATGTTTTCCTATTTTAGTAGGCAAGTAGACTGACAAAATATGTGTGTTACTAAAGATATAATGAATGTCGACAAACACTGCGCTCTTGGGGGACTTTTAAAATGGCGCTCTTCTTTTTAGATCCATTTTGTGTCCGTGAACAGGGACCAC